TTTTTTTTTTTTTTTTTTTTTTTTTTTGTTTTGGGGGAATGATGGTTAAGGGCTTCCATGGGTGGCTTTATTTATTGACATTTGAGCCATCTTCTTGTGGGGTCCATTCGAGGGTTTTCGAATTTTAGAATTTTAGAATTTTAGGTAATTTGTTTTCCAACTTTATTTATTCATTTTCTTTTCTCTTGGAACTTGATACTACCTTTGATTCATGAAAGATCGAGTCGTCAACTTTTGAGATTGGTATTAGTATTGTCATTGTTAAAATTTGGACAAAGTACCGGTTCTAAAATTTGTTTGAGGGGAAAGAATGTGACTTACCATGCAAGAAAATTATAAGGGTCCAAGTCGTTATCAGATATTTTCCTCCTTGAACTTTCTCTTTCGGACTTACTCTCAAGGATTTTTTTCAAAACGTGTCTACTAGGAAGAGGTTTCCACACCCTAATAAATGATGTTCTGTTCTCCTCCCACAACCGATGTAGGATTTCACAAGAATCCTACATACCAATGTGTTGTTTCTCACATTACCTTCGATGCTCAAGTAAACCTAGATTATTTGAGGTTTGCAAAAGTTTAGGTATGGAGAAGATCTTACCTTCTCGAGATTGGAAAAAAAAATATTATTCAAATTAGGTTAAAGAGGAAAAAAAAAAGGAGATGGGTCCTTCGAGAATTAGGGCACATACCTTATGATGTGAATTTGGGTTTCGACACAAATTCTTGTTTTTCTCTTATGTTTGGTGATCGGATTCATTTTATATTGGTTTGATTCGATCATGTATTATTATTTTTCATTTGACATTTTATTTTCTTATGTTTGCTAATAGTTCAATTTCTCTCGTAACATTATCCAGTTCTCTAATTGGGATTCATAATTTTACAGTATTATTCTAGGGTAATTGTATAGAGCGGAATTTGAGAGTGATTTTTGTTTTTGGTTGTCCCTATCTTGAAAAATCTTCTATTTGGCATTTTTGTTCATCATCGAATATTACCCATATGCTTAAGCAAGTTTTTTTTTTTTCCTTTTGTACAAACAACGCTAGCTATTGTTATGAGTAAAATTTGATGGAATTGAATAATTTTTTAACCATCGGAATATGACCTATACCCAAATTGACGATATTTGAGGGGCTTAAATGATAGGACATTGAAGCATCAAAATTATGCACTTGAGTGCTCACACTATTCATTGTGGCTTTTCCAATACACAAATGGGTGTCACAATTTGACATTGTTAATGCTATGTGTATGTATGAATCCCCTCATTTCATATTCTATTCAACGTCATTCCTTTTAATTAATAGTAAATTTTATTTCTTTTTTTTTTTCTTTTAAGATTATGCTTATTTATTTTTATATAAATAAAAAAACATATCGTTGAGCTCCGTTTGATTTAATTTAATTTTTTTAATTATATAGTACTAAATATTTTTCTACGTTTATGAAAAGAATTAACAAGGTTTCGCTCTTTCTTTCAGGTAAATGCAAGGCTTCTATTTACTGAACTCATCGTAGATAGTTGAATTTCTGCACTTAAATTAGAACGAGACAATTGCATTTCTTTTAGACTTTGATACCAAAGATTGCTTTTTATATTTTCAATTAGACTATTTTATTTATTATTTTTTTATGTTACGTTTAAATCTGAAATGAATTTGGTGATAATTTAAGTCCTTGAAAACATTTAAAGTAATATTTTTAATCATTTTTTTTTGCACTTAATAAAACAAAAAAACATTTTTTAAATTAATGCTCTTGATGATGTTTTATAATTTAATTACAAAATTTAAAATTGAATTTAATCATCATCATAGGTCAAGTCGTCGAAAAATATATATTTATGGACACCTTACTCTGTCGTATATATCATAATTTATATCAATTTATAAATAAATGTGAAATAGAGTTGAACAAGAACAATCAATTAAATAATAATCTATTATTTTATTTTTGCAATGCACCTTGGATAATATTTTTTAGTTTAACTATTTAAGTGAGACTATAAGTTAATTATCTTTCTTTTACATCTTAAAAAAAAAATAATAATAAGGGTGAAAACTAATGCAACATTAATTTTTTTAATTTAAAAATATCGAAATAAAAGAACGGGATCTGATTATATGTTTTAATCCATTAAAATACTCGACTTTAAAATTTAAAATTGTACTTAATTTTTAAGCGAAAAGAATGAAAAACGAATAAAAGAACTAAATTATCTTAAAAAATCGAGTGTTGTTGAGGAATAAAGTTTAGGTAGTGTTAAGAAAAAACACAATTTATTGGCCCTATGTGTGTATTTTGGCCATTGTTTTATATTCTTGTTTGTATGTGATATACGTTCTATTTCAAGTAGTACTACTTGTAATTTTGCATATGTTCTAATTTTAATAGCCATCCATTATCTTCTCCTAAAGTTCTCTCTTCTATGCTAGAAATTGACTTATTAGAAGTAAGATACTAAGCCTATGGCATAATATCTTTTATTAGTTCTAACGACTGATGTCCAGGATTCAAAATCAGATGGTCTCGACATTCCTCTATAGCATGGTTACGATACTCATTTCTAAGAGTGGAAACTATCCTCACTTATCAACACAAGTTCTTCCAACATATTTTGTTTTCTCACATATATCTTGAAGTAAAACATGCTTAAAGATGATAACTTTCAATTCTTCTAAACCTTTGATCTTCATGAATGCTCTCGTTCAGATGTTGTTTCAGTTTATTCATATACCCCTCCTAATTCTTTGTTTTTACATGGGAGATTATGTTGTTAAATGGTAGTACATATTGAGCCAAACATATATATATGTATGGTGTAGAATATTCATTTGTAGTATTGGAGGGGAGTTCAAGTAGAAGCCAGATTGGGCACATGGAAAAAAGGTTTTGTACTTTAGACAGTGCATTTTGAGATTCCATTAAAGAGTCTTGATCACTTTGTTTTAATCAATCATTGGGGCTCTATTAAATTGTTTAAATTTTTAAATGTGTGTTCTACTAGATCAATAAATAGTAGAGTATTGTACTTTGTGTACATAAATAATAGTTTAATGGGAACGAAGAAGCCTAGTTAGGAAGTATTTTTATAAAAGAATGAAAGGGATTATATGTATAAACATGGAGGGAGAATTGTAACAACTTCACACCGATTAGATCGAGACTCCAACTCAAAAGGTAGGTCTCTTAGTTTACCGAGTCACAAAAGTTGCTCCGTTTCATCCCATTTAGGCAATTCGGAGCCTGTCTGAGAATACCTTTTATGAGGGCTCCAACTTAGCTTTCCCGCTAATTCGACTTAGGTTTGATATGCTTGGATCATTTCCTATCATTTTCTATTATTGAAGTCATTTTTAACATTATTGGAGGCATTTATGGTTAGTAGGACTGCTTTTTAGGTAATTTAAATTGCTTAGAAATAAGTTTAGATTATTTTATGCAAATAAGGCGAGGCAATTTCAATAATAGGATTCTAAATTATGATGGTGGGTTTTAGGTGGAATTAGATTTAAGCTCGCATCAATCGAGGGTAGTGACTCCAACTTAGGTCAACTAAGTAAGTGGTTCACTGTTGGCTTGGTTGGATGACTTATTTGCTATATGACAGATGCGTGCCTTGTGGCCCCTACACGTGTCATGTTTTATAACTGTTTGATGTGTGCTGTTATGTTTATGTTAAGATATTAGCTAAGTCATGATACAGAATTATGCTAGGTTATAAATTATACTACGATATGATTATGCTATGGGATGAAGCCATGTTGTAATATCAATCTATGATGTATGAAGCTCCCTATATCACGACATGTAAAATATGTTAACATGTTCACTCTATGCCTATGAGACATTAAGTTATGTATGTTAATCACAAAAGATATGACAAGTACTACGTATGTACGTCTGATTGAGGCGCTATGTCACAAAAAGAACAGAGGTAATGAGTTGCATCATATAGTATATGTCATAATTTAATGCTATGGGGACCTCATGCATTTTGTAAAACATATGAATCGAGATATTTCCTCGTTATGAACGGACGCATATCTTACAACATTTATGTTCACCATGATATTATGTAGACCCCTTTTCCTCTATGGTGTTCGACAATATGAGTGTGCGCTAGCCTGACCGTTAAGCCCAAAGGGTATGTATATGAGCCCGCTTGGTGAGTTCATGTCTAAAGAAGTATTACACATCTAACTTTGCTCGACTGGAAAGTAGAGCCTAGAGCTACGATGTAACGATTCGATTTATAAAAAAAATAAAAATTTAATTTCACCAAAAATCTTGCGATTTCCAGCGAGGCATTATTTTTGCACAAATAACCACCCCACGACCTGTATTATATCTTCATTTGCACGCCTTCAATCCCACAACGCGTTCTAGCTCCCTTTCTGAATATTACCGCTGCATCCGAGAGAGAGAGATAGAGAGAGAACTCATCGGCGATCTCAATTGACAACATCGTCCTCCCCTCTTCGAAGACGAATCCGACATGGTGGGTGAAACCTTAATTCACAGTAGTGCTTATTTTCGTTGTCGATAAAGGAATCAAGTGAAGATTGTATCACCGAAAATCTCATCAGAAAAAAATTCGCAAGAGAGAGAAAGTTGATTTCGAGTCGGGTCAAGAAGAAGATATCCATGGGTAAAAGGTACGGACTCGAGTATAGTCCATACCGGCTCGATACTCGATTCGGCCCAACCCACAAACTCGCGGTCGATGCCTAACATGCGTTCAACCCATCCATTTCGGTCCAACACCCGATAACCCACACATTTTTCCTTGACTCCCACGCGCTTGGCACGTGACCGCTCCCAACCACGGC